AAAAAAAATCCATTCCTGGCTGGGCATGGTGGCTCATGCCTATAATCCTACCACTCTGGGAGGCTGGGGAGTGTGGATTGCTTAATTTCAGGAGTTAGAGACCACCCCGAGGAAGAGTGAGACCTTGTCTCTACTAAAAATAGAAAAACTAGGGGTGGTGCTTGTGGCTCAATGAGTAGGGTGCCGGCCCCATATACTGAGGGTGGTGGGTTCAAACCTGGTCCCGGCCTAACTGCAACAAAAAAATAGCTGGGCGTTGTGGTGGGCTACTGTAGTCCCAGGTACTTGGGAGGCTGAGGCAAGAGAATTGTCTAAGCCCAGGAGTTGGAGGTTGCAGTGAGGTGTGATGCCATGACATTCTACTGAGGTCAATAAAGTAAGAATCTGTCTCTTAAAAAAAGAAAAAATAGAAACACTAGCTGGGGTTTGACACCCATAGATCAGTGAGTAGGGCACCGGCCACATACACCAAGCCTGGTGGGTTTGAGCCTGCTAAACAACAATGACAACTGCAATCAAAAAATAGCTGAGCATTGTGGCCGGCGCCTATAGTCCCAGCTACTTGGGAGGCTGAGGCAAGAGAATCGCTTAAGCCCAAGAGTTTGAGGTTGCTGTTTGAGTGCTGTGGTGCCACGGCACTCTACCCAAGAGAAGCAAGGCTGCTGGCTGCTTAAACTTGAGAATATGGGGTGGGGGGAACTGGCCAGAAAATTAAAGTTACCAAAAGAATTGATCTAGGATTTTCACAGGGCCAGCACAAATCAATGTTTTGGTCTTGCTTCCTATTCAAAGCTGTGAGACTCTGTCTCAAAAAAAACAAAGAAAAGAAAAACTAGTTGGGCATTTCAGTGGGTGCCTATAGTCCCATCTACTTGGGAGGCTGAGGCAGAAGGATCACTTGAGCCTAAGAGTTTGAAGTTGCTGTGAACTATGACACCAAGGCACTCTACCCAGGGTAACAAAGTGTGACTCTGTCTAAAAAAAGTACATAGCCACAGGAAACCTCCCCAGTGGTCCTTCCTTACCCATTGTCCGCTTACTTGAGGGGCTTTTATACTGGTTTTTACAAAATCCTCACAAAGCCCCATAGCTCCCAGGGCCTGGACCTTAAAATATTCTGGGTGGGGGGAGTTTGAGTCCCACCCCTGCCTCTCAGTGTGTCAGCAGAGACCTCAGGCACCTTATCTCTTGGGTCTCAGTTCCTTCGCCTTTAATACAAGTGCTCTTGGGAGGATGACTGTGGAGCTCAGTGGTAGCTGGTATCATTCCAATGTGTGCCCTCTTGTACTGTACGTGGGGAGATTGGGCCTCGCTTGGCAGAGTTGGGGTTGCGTGGTTTTGGGGTCCTAAAGACTGAGAGTGACCCCACATTGAGCTTAGGCCTGCTGCTCCCCTGACCACCTTGGTTCCAGGTTAGGGAACTTGGGCCTTCGTGTGGACCTGTCTGGGCTGTCACATGTAGGTAAGCAGGAGCCTGAGGGGGCACTCCTCAGAGCTTCCTAAAGTGGAAGGAGCAAAGTGAGGCAAAGGTGCCTGCTCCATTCCCCAAAGCCCATCACTTCCTTTTTTTTTTTTTTTGGCCAGGGCTGGTTTGAACCTGCCACCTCCTGGCATATGGGGCTGGTGTCCTACTCCTTTGAGCCATAGGAGCCGCCCAGCCCATCTCTTCCTAAGAGAAGCGTCTATCCTCTGGGGCTTTGCTGCCTTTTGGGAGGCCAGTGGATTTACATCTTCCCTTTGGCAGGTTGTAAAGTGGAGTCCATCTTCCTGAATGTGGCAGCTGTGAACACACACCGGGACAGACCTCAGGTAGCACTGCTGGGGTGGCGGGTGTTCCTGGGGGTGTCCAGACACCGTATATTCCAGGGCCAGGCCCAGCTACGGCACCTGCCAGAGGGAGCTTGAATCTCTGCTAAGGCTGTTTTCTTGTGGTCAGGGAGGGCCTGACTCTGGGGTGGCTCTGCCACAGGCCTTCCCAAGACCAGCTGTCCTGGGGAAGGGGAAGTCCCTAGAGCTGAGCCACTGGGCTAGGAAGTGACTACATGTGGCTGTGGCAGGCTCCCCAGCAGCCCCATGGAGGTTGAAGCATTCAGAGGGCAGGTGGGGCATCCGCTCCCTTGCCTCCAGCCCAAGCCTGACATGTACCTTTTCTAACTCCAGAACCTTTAAAAATTAATACAAGGCTCGGTGCCCGTAGCACAGTGGTTACAGCGCCAGCCACATACACCAAAGGTGGTGGATTTGAACCCGGCCTGGGCCAGCTAACCAATAATGACAACTGCAACAAAAAATGACCGGTCCTTGTGTCGGATGCCTTTAGTCCCAGCTACTTGGGAGGCTGAGGCAAGAGCATTGCTCGAGCCAAGAGTTTTAGGTTGCTGTGAGCTGTGACACCACGGCACTCTACCAAGTGTGACATAGTGAAACTCTTGTCTCAAAAAAAAAAAAAAAAAACTTCTCAAAATGTCACCCAGAACCACTCTCAGTGCCCCAAGGGGGCAGTGTAGGAAGGTCCCTCCATAATGCTAGTTGCCCCTCTCATCAAGGCCAAGGGCTAGACATAACTTTTGGGATTCCTTGTCCCACTTCCTGGAGTGCACAGCACTTAGAAGGCTCTTTGGGCCTCAGCCCTTCCTGTTGCCATCCATGATGGGCCCTGCTTGGGCCTTGGATCCCTATTGAGGGTGCAGGCTGGACATCTGGTCCAGCCTGCCAGATATCCCCACTCACCTATAGCCCCTTGGCCTTAACTCTATAGGCAGAGATGTGTGGATGTAACGTATTATTTCCCAAGCCTGCTGCCCCAACCAGGACCAGTCATTGTGGGCCTCTTTCCCTTTTGCTCTGAGAGTCTAAGTGTGTCTTCACCAAGTAGGCTCAGTCTGGCACACACAGGTCACAGGGAAAGGTATTTCTCTAATAGGTATCTTTTGGGCTAAGGAAAGCCCAGATGGCATTGGACCCCAGCACTGACAGATGATGGTGAGAGAGGGCCTTGGGCCTCAGAGTCTTTGGGGGCTGACCTCACTAGCTCATAGACATGGTGTGGCTGACAGTCACTCTGCCCTCTTCTGAGTGGGTACTTCTCAGAGCAGACTTCTACTGGCCACAGTTTCCTAGCTGGTTCCCTTTCAGGTGGACAAGATCCTACAGTCTCCTGGCTCATGGCAGTGGTAGGAAAAGGGGCAGGCAATGGTGGGAAAGGGGACCCTCAGAAAGCCTGCTGCACAGTGAGAATTATACCTGAAATGGCTAGTCCTGTGAGCCCAGGGCGTGGGCCATGTCTCCCTCCCCACAGATCTGGGCTTGCCTGTTACACAAGGCTCTAGCCCAGGTCATCAGTGACTGCTCCTGCAGGTGATGGTTCTGAGGGCCCACAGCTGGGAGGTTGAGCCACCAGGATCTTGGCTCATAAGACAGCCTCATAGAGCTAAAGGAAGTCTCAATCTCCTCATTCTTCAGGCATGAGGCATCCTGAGCTCAGCAGGCCCAGGACAGAGCTAGACTCTGCAGCTGGGTGAGGGCCAGCTATGGACTTCAGGGGCTCCAGGGGGCCCTGTGCTCTAGTCCTGAGGGGACAGACTAAGAGATAACCATAAGCTTCTGAAGCTACACCTGTCATCTGTCTACCAACTCCTTGAGCCAGGAAGGAGGTGCCCCCAGGAGCTGAACCATTTCCGTGCCCTCAGATGACAATGAGAACCCCAAGCCAGGGTTCCTCCTTAGTTGACCCAACCCTGAGATAGGTGGTAAGAACAGCCTTGCTCTGAATATTGCCTGGCCTGCCTGCACTGGAACAGGCTACAGGTGGCACCCTCCACACCTTTGTTTTGTTGTCTGTCCGCCCACTGTGGCACAAATCTCTTGACCCTACATTCTTAGGGAAGTTGGGGTCAAGAGTCTAGAGCTGGGGCTTTAGAGGTAAGAATGAGCCCCCTGACAGGCCACAGTGATCAGGAAAGCTGACTGCAGGTGTCCCATTTTCCTGCCATAAGGGAAAGGTTCTGTGTTTTTATTGTCATACAGAATGTAGATATCTCGAGACCTCCGGAGGAAGCTCTTGTCACAGTCCCTGCTCACCAGTGACCATCGCATCCACTGTGACCCCTGGACAAGCACTGATCGCTATAGATGAAGTTATTTCAGGCCTCGCCCCTAGTCTGTGTGACAGTTGCCGTGCAGGAACGTACTCAAAGCCATGTGTGGCCTATGGGGCCCAGAACCCTGCCCCAGCCCACTTATTTGTTGACTATGACAAGATTGTATGTGGTTCCTGACCTGCTGCTGGGGATCATGCGGCCAGACTGCATCTGCCCGGGCTGGTGAGAGGTCACCCGGCACTAGGGTCTCCTGTTGCAGCTCTTAGGTGTTCTTTCTCACCAGGTGGCTTGGCTTTGTGAAGTGTGCAACCCTAGAATGTGAAACAGAAAGTGCTTGCCGTGGTGTTCCCACTGCAGACCAGCTGCCTGCGGTGGCCCCTGCCACCCCTTGCAGGACCTCTGCTATCTTCTCTGTGGCCGCTTCCTGAGCAAGAGGGCAGGTCTTCAGGAGACTAACAGGGTCTTTAGTTCCCCAACAGGGACTAAAGAGCAGCAACCAAGGCAGACGCCTCTTGGGCCACCACCGGCCAGGCCACGTATCTGGGTGACTGTATCTGTGGGCACTCATGAAAGCAACACGCTTGCTTCAGCACACTGTAATGCATGGGAACATGCAGAGAGGGGAGCATGTGTGGTCACCCCTCTGCAATTGTGCAAACACTGGAAAACTTGGGGGAGCTGGTGGCTAAGGGTACCCTTTCCAGGCTACTCTCATAGTGAAAATGCCTAAAGATAGGGCAGCTGTACGAGTTACCCTTCCTGGTGCACACACCAAAGTGCTCAAGGGGGAGGCTGCCATCCCTCTCCCCTCCCTGGCTGTGTACACTGGCAGCTGAGGAGGAGGTGGCCTCTCAACTGTTGCTGCCTGTGTCCACACTGGTGGCAGAGACATGCATTTGCCATTAGTGATTCAGATAAACTTGTGGTCCTGTAAAACTTGTTCTGTTTGTTGACCTCTACCTGTGGCCCTGAGGAAGGGAGAAGACAGAACCTGGAGGTAGCTCCTGGGCAAGGGACAGTTTGCCCAGCCATATCACACTTCATGTGCATGTGAAGCTGGTGAAAATGCCCTGTGAAATCTGGCATCTATCATGCCCCTGAGTTCTTCTTGGCCCAGAGAGGCAGTCTAGGGAGTGGGTTCTCGTTATATTTTATAGCAGGCAAACAGAGTAGCCAGCAAGAAATGGGGTTGGGTCAAAGTCTGGAATTATAGTTTGGTGCCTTGCTATCCACAGGTGGACTTTGGTGAGGTCAGGCCCCTGGATCCTAATCCCACTTTGTACTCAGAACATTTTCTGGCTTGTGCCTGGCAGAGCAGCTCACATTTTCTGCCCTGCCAGGGCTTTGTGTTCTATAAGTACCACCTGTCCCTGAGAGAAATTAGCATCTCTGGTCTCAGCAGATCTGGTCTGTCATCCTCAAGTGCTATAGCTGTGGGTAAATACAGGTGGAAAGATGTCTGGCGTAGAACCAGGGGAGGATCCTCCTTCTGGACTCATCCACGGGAGCCCCAAGCCCTTTAGACCCAGGGCCAGAGGACCATGCCACTGCCTTCGGAACATAGGGACTTCAGCTTTTACTTCTGTCTGCTGGAGTTTTGGTAACTTGTCACTTAGACATGTGTTAGCCATGTGGGGTCCTTTTGGGCATGTACATCTGGATGTCACCTGAAGTGAGACCACTAAGAACCTTCTCATTCTGTACACAGGGGAGTCAAGAGCTGCTGGACTGGGTACATTACAAGGACTGAGATAGGGCAGGGGAAGTCTGGGAGATGGGCATGGAGAGGGTGGACCCTGGGCTCTGCCCTGAAGTGGTCTCTGCACAGGCAGAAGGCATGCCAGGTTTCAGCTATGCTGGCTAATGTGCCCATGTTGCAGTTGTTCTCCTGATTTCCCTAGAATGGATGGTATTGGATCTCAGCCACACCTGACACTGTGTCCAGCATTCTTCGCAATAAATACTTTTTAAAAAACAAATAAGTTGTAAGGTTGTATTCTATAGCCAGTTCTCCATATTCTTCCTGGCCAGCTCCATAGACATCCCATGTGTGGTCTTTCCCCTAGGTCTGTCTCTATTGGAATCCTTGGCTCAGCCCTCAACCCCATACTTAACCCTCACTAGAGGGGAATCCTGTTGTCTAGAGTGAGACCTGGCCTGGCACACAAGGACAGATATGGCCCAAGGTTTCTCTGGGCTGATCTGGGATCCTGGTCCCTGTCCCTAAGCAAGAAGCAGATGGTTTTTGGTGGTGGTGGGAATGCAACTGAAGTAGAGTGCTGTTAAGGTAAGGATTCTGAGGTCCCTAGAAATGTGGGTCCCAGGCCAGGTATGGTGGCTCACATTTGTAATCCTAGCACTCTGGGATGCTGAAGATCCCTGGAGCTCAGGAGTTCAGGGCTAACCTGATCAAGAGCAAGACACCATCTGTATTAAAAATAGAAAAAGGTAGCTGGGTCTTGTGGCCTTGTAACCTTTAGCTACTCAGGAGACTGAGGAAGGAGGATCACTTGAACTCAACAGTTTGAGGTTGCTGTGAACTAGACTGACACCATGGCACTCTAGCCTAGGTAACACAGTGGAGCTCTGTCTCACAAAAAAAAAAAAGAGAGAGAGAGTGGCGCCTGTGGTTCGAGGAGTAGGGTGCCAGCCCCATATACTGAAGGTGGTGGGTTCGAACCCAGCCCCGCCAAAACTGCAAAATAAAAAGAGACAGGGGTGACCCCTGTGGCTCAGCTGGTAGGGCTAGGGCGCTGGCCCCATAAACCGAGGGTGGTGGGTTCGAACCCAGACCCGGCCAAACTACAACAAAAAATAGCCAATAGCCAGGCATTGTGGCGGGCACCTGTAGTCCTAGCTACTCGGGAGGCTGAGGCAAGAGAATCACATAAGCCCAGGAGTTGGAGGTTGCTGTGAGCTATGTGACGCCACGGCACTCTATGGAGGGCAATAAAGTGAGACTCTGTCTCTAAAAAAAAAAGGAAGAGAGAAATGTGGGTCCCAAATGTTTGCCTCCTTGGGGAGGGAGATCTGAGGCTGGGTCAAAGTTGGAGGGATGCATGAGGCTGAGTAGAGGCATGCAGGCTAGCTCTCTGGTGTTTTCTTTGTCTTACGCATCTCAAGCGGGGAAGGTAGAGGCAAGAGGCAGGGTTTTCCTTTTCCCATACCTCTCAATGACTGGGCTGTCCATTCTTCCTGCTTTGGGGATGGCTGTGGGAGCGGGGTGTGGCAAGGGTCCTCCTAAATGCACAAGATGGGGTGCATGGCTGGGTGCCACCTGTGCCTCTCCCAGTGTGTTAAGGCACAGGATGCTGTGGCTAGGCTGTTTCTGGGTGGTGTGAGGTGGCCAAAAGCTATGGCTTTGCCTTACCTCGCAGCGTCCTCACAGCATCAGAGGGAGGGACAGCTCTGTGGGGGTTCAGCTAGCACTCAGTCCCAAATGCCCTCCTTGTGAAAAACTCAGGGTACAGCTCAGGGGGTCCTCACCCCATCTCTGGGCACTGCATTCCTGGTATGGGCATCTAACGTCCTATGAGGCTTCTCAGCACTTTTTGAAGGTTTTTTGTTTTTGTTTTTGAGACAGTTTGACTTTGTTACCCTTGGTAGAGTACCATCGCATCATAGCTTGTAGCAACCTCAAACTCTTGGGTTCAAGAGATCTTCTTGCCTCCACCTCCCAAGTAGCTGGGACTATAGGCGCCTACCACAACGCCCAGCTATTTTTAGAGACGAGATCTCCCTCTTGCTTAGTCTGGTCTTGAACTCCTGAGCTCAAGTAATCCATCTGCCTCAGCCTCCCAGAGTGCTAGAATTACAGGTGAGAGTCACCGCGCCTGGCCTATGAAGAAGTTTGAAGATTTCTAGCAGCAAAGGAATGATAGAAGGAATGAAATACAACACTGTCAGAATTTTTCTTAGGTCCAAGGTTCTACCACAGCCTAGAAAAGGCAACTATATTATGTTGGGGGAGTTTATAGCATTTTGGGTTACTGGAAAATAATAACCTTCAGAGACAGACAGAGGATATCTGGATAGAATGGAATATTATTGCAAAGATAGAAGTTTCAGCACTATTTGATTTATACATATCACCTGCGTAGGATGGTGTTGCTATGTTTAGTTTAGACTGATCATTTATCTCCTAGGGCCAAACATGTGTTTTTAAAATTCTTTTTTATTAAAAATTTTTTGGGGGCGGGCAGCACCTGTGGTTCAAAGGAGTAGGGTGCTGGTCCCATATGCCAGAGGTGGTGGGTTCAAACCCAGCCCTGGCCAAAAACTGCAAAAAAAAAAAAAAAAAAAAAAAGGTGGGGTCCATCTGTAATACTAGCACTCTGGGAGGCCAAGGCAGGTAGATTGCTTGAGCTTGGGATTTCAAGACACTCCCCACCTACCATCGCCGGGCAAGAGCAAGACCACATTTCTACTAAAAACAGAAAAACTAACTGGGCTTGGTGGTGGGCACTTTGTAGTCCCAGCTACTCTGGAGGCTGAAGCAAGAGGATGGCTCAAGCCCAAGAGTTTGAGGTTGCTGTGAGCTATGATGCGATAGCACTGTACCCAGAGCAACAGAGTGAGACTCTGTCTCAAAAAAAGAAAAAAGATTTTTTGTGGAGGCAGGGTCTCACTTTGTCACCCAGGCTTGTGGGTGGGGAAAAGAGGGGAGAAGGAAGACTGGGTCAGAGAAGTCATGGGGTATGGATTATGTTGGGCCTTGGGAGGGAATGGGGCACCATAAAAGACTTTTTTTTTTAGACAAAATCTCAAGCTGTTGCCCTGAGTAGACTGCTATTGCATCACAGCTCACAGCAACCTCCAACTCCTGGGCTTAAGCGATTCTCTTGCCTCAGCCT